ACAACCATCCATCAGCAGCCAGGGAGTTGAATGTTTACAGCAGGTCCACTCTGCTGTGGTTAGTTGAAATGCCAGTTCCCAGAGGTTCACAGAGTGTTGTTAAAAGGACAGGGGATGCTACACCCTGGTAAACATGGCCCTGTCTCAACTTTTTTCAGACGTGTTGCTGCCTCTGTTTCAAAACTACCTTATTTTTTTCTTAAAACGGTACATTTGATATGTTTTCTATTTTCTGTTGTGAATGAAATATGAGATGTTCAAATTATTGCATTCTGTTTTGTGTCTCACTTTTTTTGGAATTGGGGTTGTAAATAAGGTGAACTTGTGTTTACTTTATGTGCAAGAGAAATGGAGAAAAAACAGGATTTTGGTTTTTAATATAGATTTAATACAGTAATATATTAGATCATGCTAGCACGTCATCGGGCATTCAAGTAAACACAGCCTCACCCTATTTACTAATTTCATTTGCCAAGTGAATATATTTTATTCCTATAGTTTAATAAATCCAAATACCTATTTACCCAAATTTATGTTATACAGCAGATATCCACCTTTTCTGAGACTTGTACCATGCCATCATATACACCTGGGGTGCCCTGTAATAAATTTGTCAGATCGTAGTTATAAAATCCAAGACATCTCCATTTTCTGACTAGGGAATGAATGGTTATAATTGAACTCCGGAATAAGCAAATATTGTCTAAATATGAGAGGCATGTATATTCTTTCTTGAATCTTATTGTCCTTTGTGTATTTTTTGCCAGACCTGTGAAGGAATCCAGTGCAAAACTTTGCCTTTGTATGGAAGATTCCTGTAAGCTGTAGTAATAGTGCTGCCCTTCTCATGCATTCTTATTTAGACCCTATTCACAAGGTCTTCAGTTAGGTTTGTACCCATAATAGGGTTTATTTATAAGTAGAATTTAGTTCTATTATCAATTACATTTTACAGTGCCCCAACACAGATGAGACTGAACTTTCCAATTCAGAGCTCCGTATATATGTACTTTCACTGCATAAAGCTCAGTTTTTTGGAACTTTGTTGTATGTAATGGTGTATTCTTTATAAATCCACATTATTTAAACCTGTCAAGAAGCCTCATGATATTTTACAGAGGCAAGACCAACAATGTGGCACAGAGAACCCCTCCACCCCATTCTCCAGAAAAGCTAACTATATATTACTCTCTCAGTTTTGATAACATGCCAAGTCAGTTTAATGGGTTACAAAAAAGTAATCTCTAAGCATTCAAAATAAATGTACGTTTGTAGATTTAGGTGCTTCATGCTTCCAAACCAAAAGCATTCTGGTAGTTTTTGCTTTCTACTACCATTGTAATGGTACACACACAGACACACACACATAATCTGCAACTAACAACTATTTTCATAATCGATTAGTTGACCGATTTATTTTTATTTATTTTTTTAATTCGATTAATTACATAAAAAATAAATACTATCTTTTATTTAAAATAAAATACACAAATGGACAGCAAAGGGTGTTTCTAGCAAGCACAGTTCTAGCCATAGTATAAATTCCTCCATCCAAACTCTCTTGCTTTCTCTTGCTACTTGGAGTGCTGGTGTTAGGGCACCCGTACTTTTGTCAGTTGACACAAAGCAAAACAATTTTTCCTTTATTATACATTATTGCATATGAAAGGGGAGAGGTTTATAGTGGAAGTGGAGATGCTTGGTTTCAACAGTGCAGCTTACATTTTGAATGGCACTGTTCCTCCTGAAAGAAGAGTTAGAGAGGGAGGGAGAGTCCTGGGGGGTTTCCAGGCACCAGTAATGCCCCTAAATACACCTATCACTACTATACTTAATGACCATCTATAGCTCCATCATTAGGAGTTTTTCTCTGCTTCTCAAGATTAACTATTACTTTATTTTTATCCATGTACATTAATTATCCTTACACTTTGTGCCACGATTTGATATACTGCAGCATCTTAATTATAAAGTGTCTATAGCTGCTCATATCATTATACAAATGGATATGTTCATTACCAATGTAACTGTGTATGATCCTAGAGAGCAGTGTGATTTAATATGAGTGTGCAGATAGTCAGCAACACATAGAGAGCTTATTCATCATCACTGTGGCGAGTCTGTCATTGCAAGCAGTGTCACTGTTGTCACATTTTACATATTGGCTGTGATGAAACCATGGTCAAGACTGATTGGAGTGGGTGTAAATGGGGTCCACTGGGACAGAGCCCATGAGTATGATGAGAAATTATATTTATGCGTAATTTCATAGCTCCATATTTATGCTAAATTATGCTGAATATGAAACAATATTTTAAAGTAAATAATTGCTTCTTTTCTTTCTTGTAGTCTCCAGAATAGCGTTAGAATAGGTGTACCCTACATTCCCTGGCATTGACCTAATGCTGGTCTTTATAAGCGTGCTTATCATTTTCCCTTTGTTTTCAGTCTGTTTTAGCTTGATTTCCCTGTTTTGGATTAGAGGTGTTGTCCCTCATGTAAACTATTCCTACAATGGGTCAGTAGAGATTTGGAGAGTGTTCAAAGGCACGCAAAAATTAATAAAAGGGATAGTAGGTTTTATTGTTAACGTTCTCAAAAACGTGACTTGTTTAATTTTGGAGAACAGAGGCATATATTGCTGGCCTTCTTGAAATATCTTTTGTACAGGGTAAGAACCGTATTTCTATTCAAATAACTGTGTGTGTGTTTTAAGTGGAACTTTTTAAAATGCACAAACAAGCTTTTATTGCAGAAGAGACATACTAGGTATCTTCAGAGATAAAGGATTCTTACCTGCTTTTTCGCATTCGCAGCTCAGTGATCCATCATTGGATACAGTCTTCATTTTCGGGCTGAACTCCACCCCTCTTATGTTTTTTTTACATTGGATATGCTCTAAGCATCCTCACTCTCCCAAACTCGTTTCCATTTATTTTTTTTTTACAGTTGGCAGATTTCTTATTGTTAGCGGCTTAACGGACTATAGCTTACTCTTGGAAGAAACAAACTATTCCCTATGATGGGTTTAGGCAGCGCATGCAGGGGTTCTTTGTGAATGAGCATCTTTCTAGTGTTCTTACTGATTCCTATAGTAAATTCAAAAAGGTTTGGATTCCCTGGATTACTATCGCTTTTCCTGGACCTCGCCGCACTCACCCTTATATGATGGTCAGACTTTCCCTTCATATCGTCTGGGCTGCTGCTCCCCTATTTCCCTGCCCTCCTACTCCCCTGTTTTTGGATTCTTGTATCACTATGCTTCTTTTAATTATTTTTTTCTTGCCTTATTTTGCTATGTCTTGTCTTGCTTGGCTCTATTCCTTTTCTCTACTTTTCGCTCTACCGTGGTTGTTTTCAATTGTTGTACTCATGAGCATTGATTTTTTTTTACAAAAGGCATCACGTATCAGATTTTGTTTTTGCCCAAATACTTAGTAATGCGTGTTCTACCTGTTCCAGCTTCACTCCACATGTTGGGTTTTACACCTTGCTTATATTTTACTTTTATATTTTTGTCTTCTATTTGCCGACTTTGTTCTTGGTATTACCTGATTATTGTTATTACCTTTTTGATTAAGGTTTGTACCTCGTATAGAAAACTTAGTAAATCATTGAAATGGAAACATGCTGGCGGTAATGAGGGAGCTTGCACAAATCATGTTGGAGGGGAGGTAATTATAGTTCCACTTTAAATTTACAACTAAACGTTCAGTAGAAAAGCCTGTCCCTCACCAGCATGCTGTAGAGAAGGACCCTTGCTCTTTCTGTGGAAGCAGTTGTCTTTCTGCGGAGGTCTCCCTGCTGAGTCAGACCTGTAGCTTTGTAATCATCAAACTTCATGTTCCCTGCCGATCGAAGAGACCACTGCTTCCACACAGAAGGGAAAGGGCCTCCTCTAAAACATTCTAACAGGGGACAGGCTTTTCTACTCTTGTTGTGGCTGCTTTATAAAGAAAGCAAGGACTGCACACCTTTTATTTTGATGCACTTGGAATGTATTTAGCTGATTTTAACTGAAAGTTTAGTTGGGCTTTAATTCCACAATGTGCAAGGATGATTTTCCCATCAATATACAAAGTTTTTTACTGCAGGAAAGAGGGTAGGCTTCACTACCGTATAGGGAGGTAATGGTTTCTTATAACTACCGGCATTTATACTTACAATTACTAAATGTAAGATCAAATATAGTGATGCAGGGATCTGCATCTATCAGAACGGAATGTGTTTTCCATTCTGAAAGAATATTAGTCATGGTTGCCAAGAGGGTTGGTTTTGTCTTCAACTGGAACCAAACTGAAGCTTAAAAGAGGCTGAACTTGATGAACTTGTCTTATTTCAAACTAGTTAACTGCGTTATGTAACTTATTTTATTGGAAGTGTTCTCTCATGTACTCATTCAAGTGGCTCTGTTTTTTGGCACAATATCAAAATGTAGGCTTTCTTTAAAGTGCCAACTCTCATTTGTACCAATATAACAAAACGACTGGATCTTACACCAAAAAGAGAAGTTGTCTAACAATGAACTCCTGGCTGGAGCCTACAGTTCCATGATGCTTCTTGACATTCAGTTTCTATTCTTTGAATAGCAGCATATATGGGCTATGTTTGCTTTTTTGATAGGTACGGTACTGTTAGATGATATGGGCAAAGCTTGTTGTACTGATATTGCTCTACCTACTGTTTCTTTTAAGAGTTGTCAGACAAGGTGAAGTTTGTATTTCTATTGCCTTCTCCCTTGACATTTCATACAAAAATAGAATCTTCACTAAGTGAAGCCTGATATATGTGCACAGATATATGTTCTAGATCTTTTGGCACCTTGTCTGACCCATTTTAATTACCCAAAAGCCTTTAGATAATGAGCAACTATAATTTTAGATGGGAGCCCTAAGGGGAAGCGGGTTTGCATCTCTGCCTGGAATATTTAGTATGGGTTCATCTTGTTCATCTATTAAAATGTTAGGTAATTAACTCTGTTCTCTCCTCTCGTTCTGCAGCTCAAATCGAAATAATTCCGTGCAAAATCTGTGGAGACAAATCATCAGGGATCCATTACGGGGTCATCACCTGCGAGGGTTGCAAGGTACAGTATATGGTGAAATGGGATCACAAATTTCTTATTACAAGTTCAGAATCTGAAACGTAAGAACAGTACATAGGTATCTGCAGCTTTTTTTTTAACTTACTGCAGTAAGCCTACATGACGTTAATAGTATGGCATTTGTAAAGGGTACACTTTTTTGCATTCACATTATTGGGCTCCAGAAGTTACCTCAGATTTTGTCTTGTTTGGTGTGCAGCCTTGTACTAAAAGGCAGGTGATTTGTGCTTTGTTTGACACAATTTCTTATAGATATACTGAGCAGTCTGTCATAGAAATCCAGTTTCATCGCCAAGGGAAACACTGTTGACAGCATAGCCAGAGGAGGATAATGATAGTTTTGTAGTAAGACAAGTTTTTCAGGTGCAGGTGTTGGATTTTTTTTATTCATTCCTTTCACATTTTTCACTAATTTGATGCATTATGAATAAGAAGAAATTGTATTTTTTTTCTTTTCATTTTATCCTCACTCTGCTGCAACAATTCTGGTGTAGCCCATATAGCAGTTCACAATACAGGGATCTTAGCAGGCAACACTCTTTTGTTGTGACATGGTCACCATGCAACAATTTTGTATGTCAGTTTTCTTTGTTGAATATGTTGCTGTCTGTTTCTCATGCATGTTTTCTATACAACACAGACCTGTTCATTGTAAAAGGGACTTTATTATGAGAAAAATATGGGGGCTGCCACTGATGACCTATCTTTTAAGAATGTTAGCTCCCTGGCTTTTATGCTGATTCTTTGGCTCAAATCCTTTCTGAGGAATTTTTACACTTTTTGGACACTCATTTGCTTGTAAATGGGCCTGTCACTCAAACATATTGTAGTCTAGACACATGTGGGCAACAAGCAATTTGAAAAATTGGACAGAAATGGCAACCCCCATTTACTTTTTAATGACAGAGTCGCTTAAATGCCAACTTTTGCTTGGTTGGTTCCTGTTGTCTTTCAAGCAAACCTATTATGCACTATCAATAAAAGTGACACTACATTCAGGAGTTAAAACTTTAAAATGCATTGAAGTACCTTAACTATTAACAGAAATGTATCTTATTTGTGTATCACTCAGCTGTAGATCCTCAAATCAGCTCTGAATTCTGTCCTTCCTTCTGGAGGGGGGCTACTTTTGTTCCCCATGGTCCCCCTGTGTGTTGTAAAGTAGTTACTGCTCCAAGCTTGCTCTCAAAATGCACTACAATCTCAATACAAATTAATAAATGAAATATGAGATTGTAGTCCATCATAGGAGTGAGCTTGGAGCAATGGCAACTTTGCAACACACAGGGTCCATGGGGAACAAAAGTAGCGACCCTCCAGAAGGAAGGACAGTATCAGCACCAATTCAGAGATGATTTGAGGATCTACAGCCGAGTGATACACAAATAAGATACATTTTTGTTAATAGTTCAGGTTCTTCAATGTATTTAGTGTCACTTTAAAAATTAAGTAGTGGTGTTGTAAAAATATTCAGTATCACAGGAGAAAAGCTACAACCTCAGTTAGTTGAAATGTGTCATCCATTTTCTGCATTGAAGAATGACTGATGCTTATAGGAGTCAGCGATGGAGCTCTAGCCTGGTTGGCCCTCTTCTTGCATTCAAGAAGTGGAGGCCTGGAGGTTGAGCTGAATAATAAAACACCAATATGCTCTAAACTATACTTTCTCTTGTGATGTTTGTATGGAGCTTTACAGCTGCTTTTTCTGCACAGCCCTTAATAACCTTTATAATATGTAATAATGTTTGTTCAAAGTAAATCCATCAAATCTTTAAAGTACTTACCTGAAACCTGTACTGAGAGAAACACAGAAGATGCTATTGCTGGCCACTTCCTTAAAATACGAGTTGCCTGTATTCTGAATTTGTAGTACCTGTCCCTAAACCAACCATTCTTCAATTAAAGTCAGAACTCCTGGTCTAACTATTTATTTTAGGACTGTGTCTCAGTTGCAATTGGAAAGTATTAAATTCAGTGGCTCAGCACGAAAACCTGGCAGTTAGCAATTTCTGATGGAGAACTTGGAAATAGTAGCCTCCATGTAAGACATTGAAAAGCAGCCACTTGGTAATGCCATTCTTTATCTTCCAGAACATACCCCAAATCTGGGGAATTACAGTGGAAATATTGGCATTCAGCTGTGTAGTTGAAGCTTTGGCATTCCCTCACATCCCGCAATGCAGTGTCTAAACTTTACTGACCGGTATGGAAGTTGAAGTTTTAACTTTGGAGACGGTTAGAAGAGTTGACATTTGCATATTGACCTTCCTGGGGCCCTCGAGAAGATAATGTGTAAGGCACCTTTAGGCTCTTCCATGTATGTTGTTATGTCTGCTCAAGTTCTTTGAAGATCTTATTGGTTGGCTTTGAACCTGCCGCAACATCAAACTTTTTAAGTTAAATTTAGCAATCAGTTTAGTGCATGCATAGAGAATATACCCATTAATTTGTGATTATGTACAATATTCTTCTTGCTAGATGCATGAAGTCTCACAAGAATTCAACACTTCTGGGAAGTGTTGAATTTCTGGTTGCTTTGATCTCTCTACTGCCCAACTTTCTGACTCCAGCTGAATCTGTAAACCAGGAGTAGCCAACCTTGGCACTTCAGCTGTGGAGAAACTACACATCCTATTATGCCTCTGCCTCTGGGAGTCATGCCTTGAAATGCCTAATGGAACTGAGGTTTTCACCACAGCTGGAATGCCGAGGCTATCTACCCCTGCTGTAAACCCTCTCAGCACAGCTTCATGACAGAGCAGTTGACAACATTGAGGCATTTAACACATAGACCCCTGTGGTGCCTGCTCAGCAGCTACTTCTGGTGCTTTGATTACTCTGATTATGGTGAGCCAGCACGTGTGGGAGTAGTGAGGAGCTTTAAAAAAGTGACGGCTCGCTGCCTACGCAGCCCTACTGACGTCACAAACAAGATGATGGTACTCAGCAACAGTTATATAGCAATTCTGAAGAAGCATAAAAAGAGAGATCTTAAAAGGAGCTTCCCTACCTAAACTAAAGGTAAATTATATAGTTAGATCATGTCAGCATAGGCGTTACAAGAACTAACTAATGACAGGGTCTCTTTAAGCCTTCAATTACTGACACAAAGTGTAAAACCTGACAGAGAATCCACAGTGGCTTGAAGGTCAAAAAAAAAATCTGGCTTTTAAATATATGTAATGTGGACCTGGCATGTTACGTTCATGCAGGCTATGTAATGTGTACATGTAACACCTACAGGTATTTATTACCTTTCTCAGAGATCAGGTTCCCCCCTAGCATATGCTTTTCTTTCCAGAACGAAAGCACAATGTTTGTTCATTCACTATCTTGCACATCATCTACATCCTGGGCTTAAATTCTATCCCAGAAAGGGCACAGTCATATAACTAACTCCTGGTGCCTGACACAGATCTGCTGCAGCCTTATGGTTTGCTACTAAGGTATGATTACTGAGGAAGGGAGACCGGTGAAATGCTTCCTTCAGCTTGCAGCAGACTGATAAGGACATCATCTCCACCTAGACAAAATGACTTGAGTGGAACTCAAATACTAACATATGGTAACACTGATTTATATTGTGCCATGACAGAAATGTAATCATGCAGAAGTTGCCGAAAGGTACACTTTACGCCTGGTTCACAGCTTGGTGACAGTGTGTTTGCGATGCACGTTTTAGATGTTCCCTATAACACAGCCCATCTTCACTTTTTGAGTTCAGATCCACCTTAATGCGTTAATCTCACTTCCTGTCTGTCAATCAATAGAAAAAACCTCAGTTCTGACCTTGTAGGTGACCTGCTCTTTTCATTTATGGGTTTTGTGTGTTCTAATTGATGACTTCCCCAATAGGGGTTTGGGATCCTTGCTGCCAGCCATTACATTGGTCCACTCAGCCTTGTCCTGTTTTGTGATTTTTGACTTCCTGGAGTTTAGTACTAACTGTAGTCTGGTCTACAATGCTGGTTATGGCTATAATTAGATCCCACTTAGATTCTATAAAGCCAAGCATAGGACCTGGGTTAGTACCAGCAGGTGTGTCTAGCCTTCATTGATGACCTCTGGGGAAAATATTCGGGAAAGTCAGAGTACGGCAATAAGATGCTCAGTATGACAGCCAGGTAACTATTAACTGCCAGGTAACTTTTCAAAATGAGCAGTAAGAAAAGGTAGACTCCATGTTTTCTTCAAGAAAGGTTTCCATCAATAATTTTTACTTTTTGACCTTTTAGCATCCCATAATTAACCCCTTAATGAGCCCTATTTAATGCATTTTTTTTTACCATTTAAGCAAAAACTTTTTGTTATGCCTTTGTTTTGCTGTTTCGTTTTATTGCGTTCAGTGAAAAAAAAAGCTTTATTGAATTTGTAAATAATTTCATCATACCAGAAACATAATTCTGTCATGAAAAACGGTACAATTTGAAGAACACGCCGTTTCCTAAATCTACAGTAACACTACTTGTTTTAAAGCTATCATGGGCTAAAGTGTAAACAAAAAAGTAAGGGATTTGTTTTGCCTAAAAAAAATTAAAATTAAAATTAAACGAGTTGTAAAGTCCCAGCATATAATAAGCATTGTAATAGGAATACATACTAGAGTTGTTTTTGATAATGAAGTCAAAGTTTACTTTAAAAAAATCCCTTTTATGTAGTGAGTGCTGCCTTCTGTCTGCCCACCACTTTCATCAACTTCCTGGATTCCCAGTGTGCTTTGCATCTCTTTCTCTGCTGCTATATCGGATGCAATTTTCAATTTCCATGAATTTTGCTGGAAGCAATGCATATCCCATCATGCATTGCTTCCAGCAAGCAATGATGATGTTGCATTGTGGGAAGTTCAGAGTTCGAGTTGCAGTTTAGACGGCAGGCTTAGTTGGAATGGTGTGAAATTGTGTCAGTGCATTGAGGAAGTGCATCCTATAGGCATATTTAATAAGTAAGTTTACAAACTAAATCTATATGGTTTTTAGGAGTGG